TTTTCCTCATAAATTCAGATAAAATTCATATTAAACCAATTAATTTGTTAATTAATCTAAAGTTTAAGTTAATTCAACTGGAAATTTAGGAGGAATAGATTTATAAGATTTATTTTTATCTTACTTTTATTTTTAAATCTGTAAAATATTCATATCTAATACATAATTTTGTATTTTATATTCATGATTATCTCTTCTTCTTTTGCATCTCTTGGATTATTTTCAACAATTATATTCTTTTTCCGTATAAATACAAAAGAACTATTAAGATTAATTTTGTAATAAAGTTTAATATACTTCCTGCTATATCTACATTTTTATTATCTTAATTTGACTTAGCAAATTTACTATTATAATTATCAATGCATTCTAATTCTTCTAATGCATTTAATATTACATATGTTTCTCCTTAAAAATATACAATCAAGCCATTAATTCCACGTATTTTCCTAAAATTATTTCAAAATACATTATATTTATGTTATCAATATAAGACTAAACATCAAAAATCAAAATAAAGAGAGAGACCAGGTTCATTGAAACTAATATCTAACAGAGATGCTGTCAATAGTAATTAAATAAGTATCACAAATTATCTACAATATGGATATAAATTATTCTTACTTAAATCAACTTTAGCATCTATATTCGGTTTTAGTCTAAATAGATCAACTAGATGCATTAATTTAATTGGTCTCTTGTTGACTTGATTAACTGTTGTTATTTTAGTTAGTTTAATTATAATTTGTATATTATATGAACTGGAAGTTTTAAACATTTTTTAACTCTTTCTATCAAAAGATTTTCATTATCTTAATCTAATAGTTGAAGTTTTTAATTTAGCAGGTATAGATACGATTTTTAAAAGGTTTATCTCATACTTTGATACAGAATCTTAAATTTTTACAAACTAATTACTTTCTTTTGATAAAAAATAATTGCTAATTCCCAAAAGAAAGGCTATTCAACCAAAATTTTAATATTTTTAATAATAATTAAAATAGGTAATAAGAGTAATTTGGTTAAATAGAAAATTATAATTTTTTTCCATAAAATAATTTTTCAGTAGCAATACACTGGTAATAGATTAGATTTATTTTATTGATCCTGTCTAAATTCATCAAACTGATTAATTTTTACTATTTCACACCATAAACTGATACATTAACATAGGGTCTAACATATAACTATACTTATAAATTAATTTTAAATTATGATATAATTAGATTCATTCAACACGTACGATCAGAGAATTAAAAAATATAATCATTAAACTTTTTTTTAATCTTCTCAGAAAATTAAGAAGGTTATGTGCCCAAATTTTCAACAACTTTACGAATTTTAAGGAATATTTAAAGTGTGCAAAAGAACTCAGGTCGGGGGATAACTGTCTTAATACTGAAAGAAATTTGAATTAAGAAAATTTTTGGGATTTTTACAATAGTTAGGTTGAATGAATGATTAATTAAATCTAAGGAATTTATACTCCAGTTATAAAACTAG